GGTACGAAAAGTCGGACGGTAGTACATTTCCAAAAGTATAAATTTACTCATCATCAAAACTTTTCTATAAACTGAAGAGCCACTAATAAAAAATTTTTATTTTACCTGTTGTCATTTGCACCTCGCCTTCTGTAAACATGTTCTTCTCTTTCAGCCATTACTTCTCTTAGGAATTTCCTGAAACATTTAAACTCGTGGTTTGAGTTTACTAAGTAAACTCAGTGGGTAACTATATAAAAATATAAAAATATAAATTAACATATATTCTTTCCTTTCTTAATCTTGTTTATTTCAATTCTTTAACTTAATACTTCTTTGAATATTTTCATTTAAAATAATTTGAAGCATTTGTTATCTTTGATATTTCATTTACATTTCCTTTTCCCATTTAATTTGCACAGGAGCACCGTCTCAAAGTACCTAAAGGTACAACCTTTTCCATTTAATTTCCTTTTCCCCATTTCCATAGAAATTTCCTTTTCCTTTTTCGTGCACGAGTACGGCGTCCCCAGCCAGTACCATAAGGGGGTGACTCCTGTCGTTTTCAATACCCTTTTCCTTTATTCTTTTCTTTTCTCATTTTCATCGTTATTGATACAATTGCATACAACACATCTTACTTGTATCTCTATAAATATTACTTGTCATTTACATATACGAATCATGTACATGTATATATTTTCTTTCTAAACTTTACTTTCTAATTCTTTGATATACTCATAACATATCCTTTTTCTTTTCTATAATTGTACTCATACATGTCGTTGCTTATTTTAGTTAACTATTTCTCCAAAAGTAGAAAAAAATCATACATCTATCAATTTCGCATATACTTCTTTCTAAACAAAAATAGAATGGAAATAAAGAAATTTTAAACTTTTAAAAATACCCACTTGAACTTTTCAGGTCTTCGACGAAGGGTGTTACTTCGAATTTCTCTCCAAATCTCTATCATCAAGAAATAAAGTTTTTATGAATTTGCTTTATCAAATAAAACTCGAGAATAGTTTCGAAATAGAATTTCTTACAATTGGATTTTCCAAATCTCCCAAAATCCTTCTTCCCGAAATTTCCTTTTTCCTCGCTTCAATCCCTTCCTTAACCTTCAAGAAATATATCGCTCACTTTAAACGAAGGAGGAGAAGAAATTTATAGGAAAATCTAAAAGAAATTTCAACAAACCTTTTTCCTTATTTTTCCTCGGTCGTTTCTTCCTTTCGTTGCAAATTCTCTCCAACCTTTGTTTCTATAACAATAAGAACGAAAAGGAGTTGTTAAATCTTACTCTCCAACGCGCTCGTTTGCTAAAATTGGAAGAAAACGAATTCTACCTTGCTCTCGCGTGAATTCCCGACCGTCCGCCCCTTCCTGTTCGCGCGATTGTTCGGTTCCGCGAACTGTCTGTTCCGCGGGATAAATAAAGGCGCCGAACCGGCCGGATGAACCGGTTGTCACATGAGGGTTCTTCTTCTGCTTGCACTACTTCCATGATGGTAGGTATGGAGACCCGCATGATTGGTTGTTTGCTAACACTTCCTTGCTTAGAAGGAAGATCAGCAAGCTGATTTTGATCTTTAAGAATTTGGATGATTTCAAAATATTCGAGCCTATAATTCTAGTTTTGACTTTAAACAACTATCTAGAGAACAATTCATTTCTAACCTTATATTTACCGTTTATCTGATTTACTATGAGTTGGTAGTCTGAGTAGACTTAAAGGCAAATTGTAACCTTGCGAGTAAAGCTTCGTACTCAGCTTAATTGTTGGTGACTTGGAATTCGAAGTTGATAGATTGGGTGACGATAATTCTGATGGAACTTTTTAGAATGATATCTACTCTAAGCCCATGTTCTCCTAATACATCGTCCACATGTAGTGTCTAGCGAGGTAGGGCCGTTTCTGAGATCGTACTTTGATTGGTACAATCTATGAGAAAGCTGACAAGTGCTTTAGACGTAATGGCTGTCCTTGATACATATGTGATGGAGAATTTGTTGAGTTTGACCGATCATTTAAGCAGTTAGCTCGAGTGATCAGGTTTAGTGAGAATGGGCTTAAGATGGTGGTTGGCTACCACTTGAATGGAATGGACCGAAAGTAAGGTCGCAATCTTCTGGATGAGGTTACGAGTACCCATTCGAGCTTTTTCATGATTGTGTATCTTTGTTCCGTGCCTTGGAGTGTGTGGATGACATAATTGTCAGGCCATAGTTTCTTTCCTTCCTTGATGAGTGCGGAATTGACAGCATCTTCGCTGACTCTGAGGTATATAAATATATTTTCGCTTAGTCAAGGGCTTTGCAAGATTAAAGATGACATGAGGAGACTCATCAATTAATGAAAATCGGTTTGTCTCCCTAAGATAATTTTTTCGCACTCCTGATAGTTTTGAAGAAAGATGCGCATCTCTTCTCTAGCCGAGAGGTGAGATGATTGAGCCCGACAATCCAGCTGGTTAGCCGTTGGACTTCTTTGGCGGTTCTGGGTGTCTTCATGTTGAGTATGGCTTGTATCTTGTCGGGATTCATTTTGATTCCTTGGGGTATAAGAAGGAACCCAAGGAATTTTCCTATGTCTGCTTCGAAGGATTAAGCCTCATGTTTTACTTTTTGAGAGTGTGAAAGGTTTCTTGCAGATCTTTGACGTCCTGGTCTAGACATTTTCATTTGACAAAAAGATTGTCTATATAGACTTTAATGTTTTTACCTTATTGCTCCTTGAAAAAATCTTATCCATCATTCTTTGGTAAGTCACTTCGGTGTTTTTAAATCTGAAAGGCATAACTTTGTTGCAGTGCAAACTTTCTGCTATAATGAATGCATTTTTCGTGCAGTCGGGTTGATTTGGGATGCATTTTAAGGCACTACATTTAGTCTCATAAAATAAATTTGATATCTAGAGTAATTCATTGCAATATTTGATGACTCATCTGACATTATCAGGATGATTAACCTGGTGTTTAATGATTTTATTACAGTTTGACATTACATTCACTCCCTTGTGTGCTATGAAAGGACGAGCCTTGACAAACTTCCTAGCAGCACTTTCAATTCCGGCTGATTCACTTTTAAATGATGAGTTTCCTAATGAGCAGATCATGAACTTAAAAGTAAACAAAAGCTCTTCTTTGGAGTTTTTCATGATTGGGTATCTTTGTTCTGCATCTCGGAGTATGTGGCTGACGTAATAGATAGGCCATTGTTTCTTTCCTTCTCTAACGAGTACGGAATTGACATCTTCGTTGATTCTGAGGCATAGCAACAAAATTTCGCTTCGTCGAGAGTTTTCCAATATTAGAGTTGATGTGAGGAGACTCTTCAATTACTGAAAGTGGCTACGCAGTCATCTCCCCAAGAGAATTTGTTTGCACACCTGAGAGTATTGTTGAAAGAGGCGTATCTCTTACCCAGTCGAGAGATGAAACGGTTGAGAGTATTGAAGAAAGAGGCGCAATTTGGCGGGTGAGACGTTGGACTTCTTTGGCAGTCCTGGCCATCTTCATGTCGAGTATGACTTGTAACTTGTTGAGATTCATTTTGATTCCGTTGGGTGTAAGGAGGAATCCTATGAATTTTCTTGTGCTTTCTCCGAAGGTGCGCTTTAGAGGATTGAGCCTCATGTTGTTCTTTTTAAGAGTGAGAAAAGTCTCTTGCAGATCTTTGACATGCTTGTCGAGAGATTTGTTTTGTTGAAAATATCGTCTACGTAGACTTCATTGCTTGTACTTGTTTGCTCATTGAAAATTTTATCCATTATTATTTGGTAAGTCGCTTCGACATTTTCAATCCGAAATGCATAAGTTTGTAGTAGTTCAAACTTTTTGCTATGATGAATTCTGTTTTCTCGCAGTCGTTAGGATGCATTTTGATTTAGTGATAGCCTGAGAAAGCATCTAAGACTTCCATGTTGATTTGAATCTCATTTTGTTCTGCGGATGATACCGTACCGTACTTTGTGCTACTTGTGAAATGAAGGCCTGTGGGGAGAATGTAATGAGGTTTGAGTATGAGAGAGAAAGATAGAAGGTGAGCCCGAAAGATATATGAATTTAAACAAAATCTTTATTATCTAAGACAGATATATAAAAGTAATAAAGCAAGAGCTCTGCACTTATTGACCATAAACGTGCGAAAAAGAGGCGAACAAGCGACTTAAATGACAGTCGGCGGGCGCAACATGTCACTTAAGTGGTTAAACGATCTTCGGAGCATGAAATTTGCCTAGGAGGGGCCACCTCGCAATCAAATTGTGCGTGAATGGTCAAAATCGGCGATCAACACCCAAAAGCAAAGAGTGATGCTGCCCAAACAACACCCGATCGCAAAATAGATTTGTCGTTTCGTTTGGAACGCCAAAAATACTAAAAAATGACTATATGATTAATGAAACTCGCATGGAAAAATCGGCACATGAATTGGACCTAATATCTAAAATCACAGGGAACAATACTTGAACTAATCAGCAGGGAATTGGACCTAATATCTAAAACTAAATCCATAAATCATAAAAATGACAAAATTAAATGCAAGTGCGAGACTTGTGGTGGGTTAAATTCCAAACATGACATGTTTATAAGTAATGAACAACAAGGATCATTGAGAATATGATAATTTACCTACAAGCAATGACACACAAAATTCAAAAAAATATTAAGGAATTACCAGATTGGTTGAAGTGCAAGCATCAATGAACAAAATCATTGTGTAAGCCACAAACTACTTTCAAATATAGTGAAGGGCTTTTGATTGCCAACATGATTCGCCTGCAAGCAATGAAGTTGAAGAGAATGAGTAACCTGATTGCAAGGAAGCATGCAAAGTCCTTGACACATTATAAATTACCTATAGATGATAATTGTTGATGCATAGCACTCATATCAGTCATGCAAGCAAATACATATGTCCTCTAAAAGCAGAGGGATTTGACATGCATTTAACACAATGATTTGATGCATTCGATAAGTTCAAAATGAAGTCTATGTACAATCAATGTCATTCAACCCCTAGCAAGCATGTCAACCTGCTGGCAAACAATAAAATTCCTTACAAACATACACAATGTAACACAATGGATACTATGACGTCCGTTCAATCAATGATAGCCAGCTTACAGACTAGTGCAGTAGTTCCCTACAAACATTGAAAGTCAATATACAATGAGTGTAGTAAGTTGCTGATGAACATATGTGGAAAAATCAGCAATGAATGCAGCTCACTCGACAGTCAACATTAATTTGCAGATGAATGCACCAACTCATCGGTAAATAGTAAAACTCCTTGCAAACACATAGTGCAACATGCAATGAAAGCAAGCACCCACGAGTAATGACAATGGACATGCAATAATTACAAAGACAACCTTACAGTCAACGTCAATCAAACATACATATGAATACATCAATCTCCCTTCAAGCAACAACAATAGATGTATTGCAAGGATGACGAGTCCTCTATAAACACAGATACACACGCAACATATCATCTACAAGCAAAGACAACATATCTGCAAAGCATACAAACACCTACGAGCAGCTGTAGGAGACCTATCATCCACACAATATGTTATCTACAAGCAAAATACAGAATAATTGTAGTAAATGCAAACACCTACAAGTAGCACTTGAAGATTTGCATTCAATGCAACTTGCTAGTAGATGATAGTGGAAGGTTTGCAATCCATACAACAGCCCTATCTACAAGCAATGACAGTGGATGTATTATAAATATGATAAATCCCCTATAGGCATAAATGAGGAGATTGCTACGAGGGCGACACACTATTTGCAGACAAAAGCAGTTATCTTGTGATAGGTGAAGCATTTATGAGTCACCATAAGAAATTCGTTATGTATGTAGTGGTCCGCATACAACAATTAATGACCTTTGGATATCCACTAGCGACTTACAAATATATTCAACAAAGCTTGTAGCGTACAATAGCTTGCTCGCAAGAAACAACGAGTGACCCATAGCGCACCACTATGACCCTCTTACAAGCAAAATATACGTTGAATGCAGTCCACCTGCATGCAACCGTGGATAACTTTTAAAAGTCCGCTGTCGACGCACTACCAACGAATAAATCCAACAAAGGTTGCAGTGCACGATAGCTTGCATGCAAGAAGTCACGGGCGACCCGTAGCGCAATGCTATGATTTAACTGTAAACAAAAGCAGGGAATCTGTAGTAAAAACTGCGGATCACTAGTGAATTAAAGCAGTTAATTTGCGAAGCTAGGCTATCACACCATATATCAACTTATTTGCAAGAGACAGGTAGGAGCCCTCCTGATGCACCATACAACTTGTTTGCAGGCTTAAGTACACTCATGCAGGTTGAATGCTGAAGAAAATAATGGCTTGCAGAAGAAAAAAATGAACAAAACCATATTGCTGATGCTCGACAGATGAAATTCAATTCGCTGCTAAATTATGCCACTGAATCCGCAACATTCATAAAAGCAGCAGAAGACGTTCATGGGCTCCTCAAGGAAACTCATGCATCTTTTAAGTGACCATTACTTACTAGCAAGAATTTAGTGCTGCACGACAACCTTCCTGCAATAAGCAATGGGCAACCATTAGCGCAACACAACGCCACCGGATCCGCAATATCAGTATAAGCGGACAGAGGGCGTTTGCAGGCTTTTTAATATAATTTTGATCATATATGAATATTGCAAAAACACCTCATGCATTGAAATATGCAGTGATGCACTCATAGCAAGCATATACACAATACAAAATACAAAACACATCAAGCAAGAAACATTCAATGCATGTATACATCATACATGTATTTTCATGTACATATGCAACACATTATGTTAATGCATTAAACCACTACACTACATATTAGCACCTCATGCAAGATGCAAATACATATGCCAACATACATACATACATGTAAATGCACAAGTACATACGCGAGTATGTTAACATGCAAATATGTCGCATACATTCATTGCACTGCATACATACAGCTACTATACAAATGCATCATGCAACAAACATACAAAGACATGCATGCATGGGCCCCGACGAGCGTGTAGTATACACACACATGACATTTGTGGATAATGCGTGGGTCAAGAAATGAAGCAAAGTTTGAGCTCGATCCATGAGTAATGAATCAATGACACAAAGCCATATGTTAGCTAAGATGGATTCAAATCTATCCCCTTAGGCAAATATCCACCCCATGGATGCCGATAAGGATCCTTTTGTCAGGTTGGGTCGACTAACTCTTCTGACTAAGTAGACCAGGGATTATGCTAGTATGTCGTTCTCCAGTGTTAAGCTCTTTTCAACTCCTGAGTGAGCCCCTTGAATGAACTCTTTTGAGAGAGGAGTGGGTGTACAAATGGAGTGTCTTGATTTTTGATAAGAAAGTCTGAAATATCTTGTTTGAAAAATTATAAAGAGACATTATTTCTATATATTCAAGGGGAGGGGAGGATTTAGAAATGAGAGAATTTTAAAGTTTAGCTCAAGGGAGGGGGAGGATCTAGAAATGAAAGAATTCTAAAGTTTAGCTTGCCTCAGCCCATTCTTCAACCAGTGCTAATGCTCTTCGTCAACCACCTCCAATGTCTCCCATCAATCATTTCCAATGTCCGCTATCTATTATTTTCATTTCTTGTTGCCTTGATACTAACTATTGCCCTCACATTACATCAATCAACACCAATACCTGTTGCCTTTCACTATTTCATAAAATTCTCCATCACCATCACACATTACGCCACCCCCCCCCCCCCCAAATAGTTTGGATTATTGTAACAGTTAGGTGGAATTTAAGTCAATTAAGGCAAACTCACACACACATCACATACGCAATACTCGAACCCAAGACCTCTTTATTCGTAGTCAGAGCTTCCAAACAAAAGACCAAGATAAGCTACGTCATGTGATTTTTTCTCTTTAGGATTTTTCATATAAAAATCTTGTGTGTATACGTTTGTATGCCCTGGAATGCTTCTACTCTATTTTCAGACACAAGAAAAAATGATGACCCTCAATCTCATAATTTCTTCATAAAACTGCCATTACTAGTAATGTAATCCATCTCTGCTAGAAAAAGTTCTAGTGTTTTAGCCATATGTTGGTGGCATTCTGTTTCCCATATATTTGACTTGACTGGATAAGTAAAATTTGTCATTTTTAATCCTTTGTCATTTATGCCTTAAAAAAAATACCAGTTTCTCTAGTTTTTCAGTTGATTATCATGAATTTCTGTTCAATAGGTGTGCTGATGCTGGGAATTTACGGGATGAAATTCTGTACTACAGGAATGAGCTACTGAATTGTTCAAGTGATGATGATGAAACTCGGTCATACATTATGGATAAGGGCATTAAAGCGCTAAGGTCAGTTCACATTACGTAATTACCATATCTTATTGTTGCTCTGGTTTCTTATCAAACGCTCTTTAAAGTACTGTTGCATGTGAAGCAATGATGTTGTAGTATTCTTCGCTGAAAGCATGTAGATGTTGGCAGCATGAATCAGGTTGGGTTCCCAAACACTGATTAGAAGTATGCCTCCAGTTGAAAACCTTGGTCTGTATTGGACGCTTAACATTATCAGATGACTTGAGGTTAGAATTAGGGTCATCACAACAGATCTGGGAAATTCATTGATGACGAAGAAGCAGATTTGAGAAGGTAGATGGATGATGAAGAATTTTTAAATCTACCAAGAACTAAATTGCTGCTCCTGGCATCTGAGGATGAGATGCAAGAAACATAAATATCACATGAGATCACCCACCGCCAATTGTTTTACTCATGTACAACACATTTTGGATTAAAAAAGAAAATACCAAACATAGATTATATATATATATATATATATCGAGAGAGAACTTTCGATTAAGGCTAGTCATCAATCAGATACGTAGAGATACGCGTTATCTGGCATATAGTAGCAGCATGGATTTGGAGATTGGGTTTGAATTTGGGTATTTGGAAAGGTTTGATATTTAAAATGGGAAATTGCACCATCTTGCACTTAAAGCGGATGGTGGGGGAATGGATGATGGACCCGATCAAGATCCCATGGTTCCATCTTCCCGGGCCATCGTGGTCCCTGGCCTACTTAGTCAGAGGAGGTAGTCGACCCAACCTGACAGAAGGATCCTTGTTGGCAGCCATGGGTTGCTTCGTCCAAGGCGACCTTGTAGACCTTGGGTGAATGTTTGTCTAAGGAGACAAATTTGAATCCACCTTAGCTAACAGAGGGCTTTGTGCCCTATCGATTATATCCTAATGATTCATATCTCAAGGATTTGATGTCAATAAGAAGCGTATTGGCTCTGGCCATAATCGGTATTTTGTGGTGTCATTTGGCCGCAAAACCACTCGGTTCAGAGGGCCCCGGGTCGTCATAACCATTTATCCTGCAGTGCCATTTGGCGGCAGGCAAACCCGCCGGTTAGAGGACACGTATCACGTCCTTATTGGTAGAAGATTGTTTGAGAATGGATCCTAGTGATATTTTCGCTATGTATTTGGCTCTTTGTGAGCTGAAGTAGTATTTGAATTTGTCCACCCCGGCAAACTGTTGCGGAGGGTGGATGGATTTTGCTTTATGTGTTTGGGTGGTTGGATTTCAATTTTAAATATTTGGATTTTGGGATTTGTGGAATTTTGGGCTTTGTGGAGTTTTGGATTTTGAGTGGACTTTTGGGAGGCATTTTGAAAATATTTGTAAACCCCTCCGGTTGAGATAAACATTCAACACGGCCATCATCGGGGTGTTAGGGGTTATTTCTCTTTATTGATTGAACCCTGTCAACTCGACCAAGTTATTGATCGAGGATCGGGTTTCTTGTAGGTTTTATGCCCTTGATAGTGAATTCTCATTGTTATAGGTCTTGAAGGCCTAATATGAATGTATTAAGATAAATATGCCGGTCGCCGCAACCGTATATTTGTTCAATGGTTCGAACCCTGTCGACTCCTATTGATTCGTATAGAATGATCGGATTCGAACATGAATTCACTTATTGACCTGCGCAGCATCCCTAGACGTCAAGTGTGTACTTATAACACGCTCGCCGGGGCCCATGCGGGTGTTTGGGGGCATTTTATAATTATTCGTTGAACCTTGTCAACTCCTATTTACCTGCTTAGGAGGATCGGGTTCAGATTTATTGACCCGCCAGCATCCCTAGGCGTCACGTGTGTATCAGTAACAGGCTCGTCGGGGCCCATGCGGGTGTTTGGGGGTATTTTATAATTATTCGTTGAACCTTGTCGACTCCTATTTACCTGCTTAGGAGGATCAGATTCAGATTTATTAACCCGTGCAGCATCCCTAGACGTCACGTGTGTACTAATAACACGCTCGCTGGGGCCCATGCGGGTTTTAAGATTGCTTTTACCCCTTTTAGTGCACCTATGTGTATACAAATTACGTGTGAGAGTACTTTAAAATATTTGTAAACGCCTTCTGTTCGCTTGCATGATTGTTGCGGATCCGGTGGCGTGACGTAGCAGCTTCTGGATTGAATTATTTGCTGTTTTGTACAGGTAGACTGTCGTGTACTACCTATCGCTTTCTGCAAGTAGATTGTAGTACACTAACAAATCTTCTGCTTTTGCTACAAATGATGACGACCGCTGGAAGTCTTCTGTATAAATTAGTGGATGGCATGTATAGCAAGTATCATACGACAACCTGTAGGTGTTTTCATTTTCTGAATGTGTCCCACCTCTTCTCGTAGCGGGCCAATGTGTTAACCTCAATTGTATGGTTGTTGGCTACAAAGAGACTTTAGCCTTTACTGTTCGTTATAGATCATCACCCGTAGGAGCATTCTTGTGTATGTGGTGACTCCCTCATCATTAATAGTGATTATTCGTATTCGTCACCAATCACCATCTTCTATCTCTTATTTGTAGAAGATCTCCCATACTATTGATGCATAATACACAGCGTATGTAGCTATACATGCAAAGAAGGGTGATAGATTTATTGGACGTCGAATGGTGATTGATTATAGGAGTGCTATGACATCCACATCTATTGATCATCACCCGCCTATGTATATTATTGCGCATGAGATGCATTTTTCATCACAGATAGTAGATCCTTGTATTCACCACGATCTTTTATCTTTTGCCTATAAAGGATCCACCACACTAGTGATACATTCACATAATTGTTTATAGATAGGATCATTATAAGAGCGAAGAGTTCCCCTGTAGTAACTTGTGGGAATTTACACTTTGATGTGGTCATTTAACATTCATAGGCATTTGTACTTGTCGTGCCCATCAATCATCTTATGCTTGCAAAGGATATATGTGTTTGTATATCGGCATTGAGTGTATGATAACTTAGTTGCATTCATCCACTTCTTCATGCATGTTGATTGTCGTTGCTTGCAGGTTTGATTGCATTTGCTTGTGTCTTGATATTGATCATAGAACATCGTCACATTCACTCCGTTCATATCGCTTATTGATGTTTGCTTGAACTTAAATTACATGTTGAATTTCTTTTAGTCACATTTGATTGCATGATTGACATAGATGTTATTTGCATGAAGTTCAACTTTGGAGTTTTGCTCACCACCAATGATATTCAGCATTTTACTGATTTTACTTACAAACCTCTATTTGCACTTTGACAATTATCTATCCAATGTCTAAGTTCTCATTTATTTGATCCTTGCCCATCTTAAATTCCATGATGTTATGAGTTTCGTTCTTTAAAATCCATTCAAGCTTAAGTTTCACTTAATTTTGTGAAGCTCAAGTTCAATGTCCAAGCATGGTCCCGTTCATTTGAATTTGAGTCCAAATTGTCCATGTCATATCAAGTTCAAGTTGAGTTCAGTTCAGCTTGAGTCTAACTCTAGTCTTACACAAATCCTCCATGTTCGTTCAAGTTCTCACTAATTTCTTTGCATTTGAGATTAACTTGTTTGGATTTAGCTTGAGTTCTCAATTTAGTTGAAGTTCAAGTTAATGTGATTTGGTCTAAATCAAGTCCACAAGTCCGCCATCACTTGAGTTCAAGTTCAATCAAAATTCTTTGCAGTCCAAGTGAATTCAAGTCTTGTGCAAGCCCCCGGTGATTCAACTCAAGTCTTTGCTTGAGTTTAAGTGTTCAAGTCATGTTCAAACTGAGTTCATGTCCAATACATTTAGTTCATTTGAATCTGAGTTCTCTTGCACTTATTTCATTTGAATTCAAGTTTTCATGAGTTATGTGTAGGTTCAATCCACCTATTGTAGTTCATGTTGCAATTGAGTCGAAGTCTTTGTCTTTATTTCAGATGAAATTTCGACAGCCTCCCGGCGTCTCCCCCATTTAGGGGAAAAACCAAGAGGCCGTTTACCCGCCACGTCAACAAAGACGTGCACGGTTGGTGTTTGTGAGACACCGTTGCGGTAGTATTTTGTTTTTTCATCCACCACGCCAACAAAGGCGTGCATGGGGTTTTTAAAAGGCATTTTTGAAAAAGCAGTTTGCTTTCCCCCCGCTCAGTTTGCCGTAGGTGCCGCACCGGGGTCCCATCCCACCACGCGCAACAAAGGCGTGCATGGGCGGTTTTTCGGTCCGCCATGAGCATTGAAGTAGGATTTTGAGTTGATTACCCGCCTCGTCGTAGGCGCCGCACCGGGGTCTCATCTCACCACGCGCAACAAAGACGTGCATGGACGGTTTTCAGGTCTGCCACAAACTTCGAGAGCGAGAATCTGAGTTTAGAAGTTAATACCTTTGTTGGATTGTCGGTGTTGGCACGAGGAGAAGGTGGAGGTCGGATGGCTCTGGATCGGCAAGGTGGAGGCCAAAGGGTCGGGGTTTTGGTCGCAGCAAGTCAGAGAGGGAGATGGCGAGGCTAGGGCAAAGGGACGGCTTCGACACTTGCGGCGTCGGAACGGGGCTCGGCCTGGAGATCGGGCTCTGGTCGTGGAGGTCACGGCTAGGTAAGAGAGCTCCTCTCTCTCTTTCTCTCTCTCTCTCTCTCGGCTTGGGGTCGGCACAGACAGAGGTGGAGTTCGGAGGAGAAGTATCGGGAGAGCAACGATCGAGCAGCGAATGGTTTCGTTCGCGTGGGAGGAGTAGCGATGAGAGCTTGGGCTTGCTTTTAAAGGCGTTGGAGAGCAGTACTCGAGGGGCTTTCGCGAGTTTTAGGCTGAAATCCCGGAACGGCGCGGATGAACAGGGACATAGCGGGATTTACGGGAGCGACTCCGCCAGCGAGATTCCTTGATCCGATGGGTTCCCGGTATGATTTTGAATCCTCATTTTTTCTTCCTTGGGTATAACATGAAGGTCAACATAAGTTTACCAATTCACAACTAATTATGCAGTGATCAGTAAACCAATTTACTAGTTAAGTTTTCTTGCA